TCATGTTGCTGCTGATCTGTTTCAATGTTGATGTGTTCATGCGTGCACATCTGCTCACACAGACTCATGTTCATGTTTGTGTTGATGTTCAATGTTTTTATGTTATGAGTGCTTAGTGTATATTTAGTTGATGTTTTTCTTAGTTCATATCTTAGATGTTATTACTGTTTTTCTTGTACATTTTATTGTTGGATGTAACTGGGACCCTGTGTACATAATTTCACTCCACCACATGTCCCACATGAGGTGCGAATGACAATAAAGAATCTCTGACTCTGACAAGATTAGGAAAAAAATATGCAGACCTGGCCTGTTTAATCATTTCATTTAGAGTTGAGATCAGCTCCTTTAAGTGTAGTCTGTGAACTTTAAGTGAGAGAGTCGGAGTAGAACCGCTAATCCTCCACATTGAGAGGAGTCAGTTGAGTGCCTCACTAGGGAGGTGCTTTGAGCGAGTCCAATTGTGAGGAGACCCTGGGGAGACCCAGGACATGCTGGAAAGACTATGTGTACATTCACACCAGCCCTGTTGTTTAATCTACTTTAATTTAAACTCTAGTCCATTTGCCTTGAAAGTCCAGTTCATTTGGGAAGGTGTGAATGCGCAATACAACTCTGATTGATGCAGACCAAAAAAGCGAACTCTGGCCTGCCTAAATACCTAGGTCTCGATTCAGTTGAAGTGAACCCTAGCACGGTTCAAACAGTGGTAAAGTCTACATGATACTCGAGTATACGGAGCATACCCACTAGAAAAGCTTAAGAATTTCAGTATATCCACTTAAGTGCCCAACAATACATGACATATCCTTAGGCACGTGTCATTGATACATTAAATGGCAGTTAAACGCTTCCGTAACAATCTATCGATATGCAGTGCTTTGCTTTGATACCGTTTTATAAATTTTACAAAATTTTTAATACAAACCCAACTGTTGTACAAAGTTTGTTGTTCATTTATTCAAATATAAGCATCAAAGAAATTTGGAAATGTTCAATATGCTTAAAAATCAAAATAAATCAATGATTGCATTGTACTAGGCACTGTACTTTTGTTTCTAAGCACAGTATACCCACTACAAAAATGTAGACTACACCACTGGGTTCAAATGCATTGTGAATGCAAGAGGACCGGAGACTGCTCCAAAAGCAGGAAGTGGTCTTCAGCGCAGGGCAAACAAATATGCATTTCTCTTACCTCATACGAAGCCATCAGCTGCCTTGTGTGAAAAACAACATCTCCATAGTCTTCTGCCTCATCTTCCACTCATGCTGAGTCCATAGTTGAAAAATGACAAAACAGAAATGCTAAAACCACTCAAATTTAACACCCCTCCGTTTTTATTTTCTTCTTCTTCTTCTTCTTCTTCTTGTCCTTTTATGGTGGTTGGCAAACAACTTTTAGGTGCATTACCGCCACCTTCTGGATTGGAGTATGGACTAGATGCTATACCACTCTATATTATTTTAGATGTTATATCCTTTCTAATTTACCTATTCTTCTCAGATATCCAAATATACTGGTAAAAAATGTTATCCCCTGATGATCTTTGCAGCAATTCCTTTATCTCTAATTTACTTTTATTTTTATTTAACTCACTAACTAGTAACTCTCTTTCCTTTGTATATTTATTGCATTCTGAGAAAATATGTTTTATTGTTTCTAATTGTCCAATGATCACAACAGCCTGTAACATGTTTATTGATTATTTTCAGTGT